AACTTCCCTCCATGTATATATGTTCCTTTGGGTTTTCTCCACAGTAAAATCCGCCATAATGTCTGAGTTTAGAGAGACATTGCTTGGTCTTTAAGTGACTTAGTGTCTCTAAGTCAGTTCGGGTTGTGGGGCTGTCTCGTGGTATTCTGCTGATGGGTCTATTTTTGCCTGGGAGCTGTTTGTGTGTGTGTGTGTGTGTGTGTGTGTGTGTGTGTGTGTGTGTGTGTGTGTGTGTGTGTGTGTGTGTGTGTGTGTGTGTGTGTGTGTGTCTGCTTTTCGAGAGAGTGGCTGGTTTGTTTCTTGCAGATATCTATCTACAGAGGCACTGCTCATGAGACACATTGACACTCCTCAGGATGTGCATCCGTTATGCCCATGAGGGCATTCCAGACTCTTTACATCATTTTATTAGAGCGCTTTTATTTTCATCCAAACTTGTAATTTATGACTAACAAGTGTCAGCTGAATTAGTGCTTTATTTATGAATACAGGAATAAAAACTTCATACTTTTTTACAAGCCTGGGGAGGGTTGTTTAAGGCCAGGTGCCCTGACTTCACTCAGTCCATGAACCATGTGGCACTCTGGCAAAATCCAAGTTTAGTTAAGAGGATTTTGTAAGTGCAAAAAAAACCTCCTAAAAACCTTTAGTGTATGGTAACATGTAACAGATTAATACAAATTATACTCAAGAATGTAATGTTTTTGATGTACATTCAAAAGCTATTTAGCCTTTCGGGAGCTTGTTAGGTGGAAAAAATGTAGTATATTTCATTAGCTGCTGGCACTTTGAAGCTTCTCACTTAATTTCTCTCACCCTCCTCCTGTGATTAATGGCCCTGCTCTGGCAAGTGTTAAAAGCTTTATAAAACAGTTTGAAGTTACTATACCATGTGACTCCAATGTAGAAATAATTATGTCTTTCTGTCATTTTAAAGTGACATTTACCATGCTGTATTAAGTAAATAAACATTCCTCCCTGACTTTGTCCAGGCCAGTGTTACACAAACCTTTAAAACCTGCTGTTATAGTTATAATATGTGTTAGTATCCGGTCAAACAAGTCTTTCCTTTGCTTTTGTTTGCAGCTGCACTTTGTTTTTAATGTTGTGGTAAAGGCAAACATTCCACACTGTATGAAAAGTTTGTGTCGGCTGACGTAATATGTTGAGTGGAAATGAGAGATTTTATGTCATCGTGTCTCCCTCAGTTATAATATAATATAATACTAAGCTATGTAAAAAAAGAAGTGTTTATTTTCATGTGTGGTAATGCAAACACCCTGATGATAATATGTTTTCAAATAACGTTTTAAGGTATTTGACATGCTGTGTAAATTTCATCTACGTCCATACTGGATATATAAGCAGTCTGGAAATGTTTGAAATAATATTTTGAAGAGAGCTAGAATCAGGGCGGCCATTGAAAGAAACTGTGCAGAGAAATACGACTTTCTGAGCAGTTCTTTCTGTTTTCTCACAGAGATTAAATATGTTTTTAAAATCAAGGCAATTGCACAGAGATATTTGGTCCTTATATGTCAGAGTAGTAGTCACAATAATAACTCCTGTAATGACATTCTATCCGTTATGGCTATGTTTGTTTTTAAGTTCAAACACTTGTCAGCTAGGATGAGATGGAAAGGTAAACTAGAGACAGTCTGCTCGGTTTCTAGCCAGCCGGAAGCAGGATGCAGGATACAGATGCAGAAACTGCCACCCAAAAGCCACATCAGTAAATTCATATTGGGGCGGCTGAGACAGGTTGTTAATTAAATGCAAGAGACCTTATATTGTGCTGTTGTGACAAACAGGATTTTGGTGGTGTTAAGAGGAAAATATGTTGAATAAGGCCTTATGCACCCGGTTTACCACGTCCTAACATGGCGGGTACATGTGTAAACAGTAGGCGTCTGGTGGTTGGAGGCCAGTGGGATGTTGTCGTGCAGCGACAGGTGTCATCCAGCTGCTGCTGTTCACAAGGAACCAAGAGTGTAGGGGAACAAAAAGGGGGGAAGGTGGAACAGATATATTGGACAGGTGTTGGCTGCTGAAATTGCCTATCAACACTAAAATTAGTTTGTTTATTAGTTATTTATTTATTCAAGCGCTAGCTGGCACAACCTCAGATTGTTAGTTACACAGGTAACAAGCACAGGGAAGTTGCCATTGGATACTGTTTGGAAAATAGTGGAAACTTTCAGAACTGATGGTAGCAGCATCTACGCTAACCTCTTTTGCAGCCACCATTGTTGTTGTTACTTCTCCCACACATCATCGATGATTGATTTTTGTACAGATTAACCAAAAAAGATATAATGTTAATTTGTAAGCTATAGATTTTTCTGGTAGGAAGATTTCTTTTACCTTTTGTAAAGATCCAGGCTTGCTGCTTTCAAGTCAGAGGAAGGCAAAAGTGAATAATTTTTTATTTCAGCCTGAAGTTTTGTTTTGTAATTTGCATTGTGAATAGGTGCTGAAACCTGCAAACACAATTTCAGTTTGGTGGTGTAAACCCTTCATAAGACAGGTGTATTTTTACTGAAACCTCTTGTGTTGAAATTTTGAAGTTGGGAGTTGTGATTCCTCCCTTTTTCAAATGTCATAAAAAAGATTAGATTAGATTTGTGTATGAATACCGTGTTGAAGTCAGTTGAATTTGTGTTTTCTCCTTCCCTGTTTGTCTAGTCTAAACCCAGCTCCTCCAAGGTCGGGTTACCAGGAGTCCAATGTGCAATGATGTGTTTATCCTATAGAGCGCTATTGTTTATTCTCTTCTCAGCACAAAGCTTCTATTTTGCTGCTGCCTTCCTTACTGAGCCAATAAGACTCTTTGTCTGTATAGTGTCTGTGTGGAACATGTGTGCAGTTGGCATGTCACGAAACAATGTCCGCACTCATCTCATGTCACCTCGGATATACGCGATGTCAGACGAGAGCAAGACTCACACACTGCACGTCATCGTGCAGGTGTCATTGTGCATTGTTGTTTATTGTGAATCACAGCATTTATTAGGGGGATTTCTCTGATTCATTAGTTAATTTGTGCTTTTTACTGACATTGAAAGCTTCAGCAGTTTTAGTAATTTAGTATAAAGTTGTTGTTTTTTTCTCATAATGAAAGTAATCTCAGGCCATGAGCTGACGTGTCTCACATCAAAGTATTGACAAAATTCAAAGCATTAACATGTTTTACTTATACACAAGACACAAGTGCCATAAGTTTTAGTATTTTTTTTTTGGTCAGTATTCATACATTTACAGTAGGCTGTTGTTTCATAACCATCCTGAGAGGTTTCAGGGTGGAACTGAACCCGATGTTCACCTCAGCTGAATCCTGATCCACCATCCAGTTGTATATTTTCCTTAAGTCTCAGTCTTCAGTGTGTGGACTCTTGGTCTCTCATCAGTCAGTCTTGCTGGAAGTCCTCCTGGAATTATGTCAGCTGCAGACATTTTTTAAAGAATGGGAGGGGTGCACTGCTCATTTACACAGGAATGTAATACTATTGGTGAGAGCGCTTTTCAAGTGTATGCAGTGTTTTTTCACGGCTGTTTTTCTTGCATTTAGTATGTGGCCATATGGCATTTCCATAGTGGCCCCAAGACTGTCTGTCTGCCTATTATGAATAGTGGTAGTGGATGTCAGGGTGGAGAGTACATTCCTCAGTAGGGCTGCAACTCAATTTCCATCTATTAATTAATTGTTTAAGCTGTATATGAAATGTCAAATATAATGACAAATACCCATTACACGTTACCAGTACCCTTTTTTCCGCATGACACTCAAAAAACCAAAAACAATCATTTTACAGTTAAATAAGATGGATAATTACAAGCAATTTTTGACTAAAATGATAAATGAACGATCAAGTAAGGTCTTCTCCCATACACTGTGTCTACTGAAGTCTTACTTCAAACTCAAAGTATGAAACGCTCACCACTGTAGGCTTAAAAAAAGAGCAGGCTTATGGTCAGTTACAATTGAGTCCAGTGGTGAAAAGTTTTCACTGCTGGTGGAAAAAAAATAACATCCATAAGAACCTCTCAAACTCCTTGCACCGATAGTCTACTTCTCTGCTGCTCATCTTTATAGAAACAAATCTGCCTTCGACGCTCTTTCAGTCTCTGACAGTTTAAGAAGAGTTTGACTTTAAACAGAGAGAGCATCTGCACAATGTAATAATTAGCCTGTTTTCACATATGATTTCACATATACACATACTTGTACATCTACAAAATGCAGTGAAGTGAGTGTGTATGCTGGTACGAGAGAGAGACAGAGAGGAAGAGGGTGAGTGAGTATTTTTGGGATGGATGTTTCCATATATCTCAAGGACATCATTCGTGCACTCAGGAGCCTTGAGCAGCTATATTTGGACTTATTTTTGGACAGAGCCACATCATTCAAGAGAGCTGCAGTTGTGTGAGTCGTGTCTGCAATAATGTGTGTACAGTCTTGTTTATACACTCTTGTGTCTATTGGGCTTGTGTGTGATGTGTGATTTTTTACATATGCCCACATGTCTGCGTATATAAATACTATTTTGAACTGTTTATTTTTGTAATTCCTTGCTGTGCATTTCTACCCTGGCATTTAAGTACTGAATGTTTTTTTCTCTTTGTGGGTTGTTTTCATCATTGTGATTTGAGACCTTAGACCTTGAGAGAAAGACAGAACGAGAGAGAGAACAATTTAGCTATCCTTAGAGAAACATTTTCACTTCCCAGCTTTGGAAATGATGTAATGTCTGAAAACCTGCAGAAACTGAGACAAATATGTTATTGCAAAACATTTTTTTTCTCAAATATTGATGACCATTAACTTGGATCAACCTTGTTCGTGGTCTGTGTGCCCAGTTATAATCTTAGCAGAGACCAAACATTACGTATCTCTGACAACATCCAATGCATAAATTTAATTTCACCAAAAGCACAACTTCTCCAAATATGGTGAATATTCTGAACAATCTCATCGGACTTCTGGTTTGTTTTCTCCACAGCGGCACTGCCCTTCATCATTATGACCATCGTGTTCAAGCCATATCAAAGAGGGGTTTACTGTGACGATGAGAGCATCATGTACCCCATGAAACCAGACACCATCACCCATGGCATGCTAGCGGCTGTCACCATCTCCTGCACCATTATCATTGTAAGTTTTCATCAATCTCCCCTCTGCTCTCACAGCGAGTTTCATTACACATCACCTTTGCCAAAATCATGGAAAGTTTACGGGACTTAACTCATTTAACAACATCCTGTGCTGTTTGCTCCATTACTGAATGGCTTTTAGGAACTGAGGAAAGTGTAGATGTATTAGGAGGAAAAAGTTGTTTCGTTCTAATGAAGCGAAAAATTGTGGTGGTGGGAAATGGAACAAAGTCTCAAAGAAACTCTTTTCACTTTTCCCTCAGATCTCCTCTGGAGAAGCTTATCTGGTCTACAGCAAGAGGATTTACTCTAATTCTGACTTCAATCAGTATGTAGCTGCGCTGTACAAGGTAGTGGGCACCTTCTTGTTTGGAGCAGCTGTTAGCCAGTCTCTGACCGACCTTGCCAAGTTCACCATCGGTCGTCCGAGACCTAACTTCATGGCCGTGTGTGCCCCAAAGATCTGCACGGGATACATGCAGAGGATCAACTGCACTGGCAAGCTTCAGGACGTCACAGAGTCAAGGTAGGAGGAGAACATCTCAGTATTATACTTGTGTCATTTAAATTTGAACACATTTTATGTGATAATGATGCCAACAAGAGTCTATTGTTTAAATATACTGAATGAAGCATTACATTTGTTTCTTTCTATTCTCCAGATTGTCCTTCTACTCTGGTCACTCCTCTTTTGGAATGTACTGCATGCTCTTTCTAGCGGTAAGTACAGCGCAGAAGCTTAAATCCATCACTAAAAGTCCTAAAATACAGTGTAAATATGCATCTCTATGTACAGTAAACATGCAAATATCTCAGTGTGAATCATGGATAACAGTCCCCAGATGAGCTCGTCAGCCTTATGCATTTGGATCTGTACTCAAGGGCTAATTGTTGAGATAGAGAAAAGGCTCATAGAGGCGGTTTGTGCCAGCGGACATAAAAGGACAAGGCAAGAGTTCAGAGGAAGAATGTGTATACTGAGAGAAGTGATCTGGAGGCCTCTGCTGCCTTTTTCCCAGCAACGACGAAGGCAAAGCATGTGCTGTGTTCTGTCTTCCAGGCCTATCCAGTTCATTACCCCTTGGCCTCATCACTTTGTGTTAAAAACCAGGCACCAATTCTAGGCAGCAAGCTTCAAGAGGCCAAGCAAAGCGGCATTGTTCAGCTCAAACAATATTTGAAAGAAAAGACATTTCCAGCTTGCATCCATTCCTGTCTGTGGCTCAGTTCACACTCTCTGTTTTGCCAGGAAAATATTGCAAACAAATAGAGCTAAGCTGTGATATCTAGCCTGTGTCCTGCAGTGTTCGGTGCAGAGTGTGGCTGTGTGGCAGGGGGACTATGGTGTGATGCCAATGTTTGCACCTTCAACAGCAGCCCAGCAGAAGCCCAGAGAAGTCTGTACTATTGCCAGGTTCATAATTTTTTGGCGGCCGCTGTTTTCCAGTAAAAAAGGGGTTTCAGTCCATAGTGGTTATAAATTAGATTCGTACTCAACACCTTTTTATAGAAATCCAATTTGAGTCATACCAGCCACTACTTTTGCATTAGAGAGACATAAACTCATGCTCCAAATAAATTTACCTTTTTATTTTTGGTTTGTTTGAAGTGAGATACCATCTGAAAGCTGACAGTACAGCGAGCTGTCCATTTAAACAAATATAGAGATTACTTTTGCAAAGCAGAAATTTGACTGCTGCATTACTTCACTGCTTTGTCAGCATATTTCATCACATTGTGTCAATGCGAAATGCTGCAGATGTTGTTCCACACACAAATTACATTCTCCTAACCTTTTATGGTGTGATAACCTTTTAGGGGGCTTAAAACCACTTACATCTTTTTTCAGTGTAATTACAGGTTGACAATAAAAGCAGAAAGGAATCCCTACATAAACATGTTTCTCCCATCTTTTCTCCCCTCAACCCTCCCACGATCTACCACCCTCTGCTCTCCTTCCACTCTATTTCCCCCTCCAGCTTTACGTGCAGGCGAGACTGGTGGCTAAGTGGGCTAGACTTCTCCGGCCCACCATCCAGTTCTTCCTGGTGGCCTTTGCGGTGTATGTGGGTTACACCCGAGTCTCTGATTACAAGCACCACTGGAGCGACGTGCTGGTGGGGCTGCTGCAGGGAGCGCTTGTTGCTGTGCTCAATGTGAGTCTCCAAGACAACTTCTTTCCAAGGGCAAACATTGCCAAACTTAAGAATTTCTACATGATATTTCCATGATGTAAAACTGTCATAACTTCTGATGGGATCTCCTATCAAGATGCTGAGCTGCTCATTTATACTGAAAATAGTATGATGTCATAGTGTCAAACAGTTATCTCAACAAATCATGCTCACACAGAAAATGAAATGTTCTGTGAAGTAGCTCCAGCCCTCGACCTGATGACATCTTAACTCTGAGTCTTACTCCTGTGGTTTCTGGCTTAAGGAAAGGCAAACATGGGCGGAACTGTCCAGATCATAAGAAATATTATTTGATGGAAATCTTTATACTCCCTTTAAAGCGGAAACTGAAGAATCCATATTTAGGCTTTATTTCAGTCTTGCAGTAAAATCCATATAGACAGGAGGCATGAGGGGAGTGTGATGGCTGCAAAGTGTGACAAACCCACACACTTAGACTGGCATGTTCTCAGGCAAGAAGTCCATTCTCCTCACTTCATCCAGCTGGGCTTCTTTATTGTTTGGCCACTTCCCTGTTTTGAGTGAGACACTGTCAGCACCACCTTGGAAATTGTGTGTGTGTGTGTGTGTGTGTGTGTGTGTGTGTGTGTGTGTGTGTGTGTGTGTGTGTGTGTGTGTGTGTGTGTGTGTGTGTGTGTGTGTGTGTGTGTGTGTGTGTGTGTGTGTGTGTGTGTGTGTGTGTGTGTGTGTGTGTGTGTGTGTCCATGTATGATTAATTGGGAAGTGAGCCCAGCCTTCACAGTGCTGTGCGCAATTAGAGACCCTCCTGGGCATAGCATTTTATGGCCTACAGGGGTTGTGCCTGCTCTCTGTGTGTTCCTCTCAGATGTGTGTAAATGTGAGTGTCACTTAACAGCTGTGCACAGACCTGTCCAGACATATGTTATCACAATTTCCAGCCCAGCCCTTACATTGTATCCCTTACATGCTTATACTCCAATCTCTGTGGGAGAAATATCCCAAAGTGCCAAAGCTAACCTTCTCTCTGCTCTTTTTTCCTCCTGTCCTCTGCAGGTGCACTTTGTGTCAGACTTCTTTAAGAAGCGTCCTCCACGTTGCACTAGGCCAGACACAGCTGATAGCGAAGAGCCAGAGAGGAAACCCAGCCTGCAGATTGCAGACTCCGAGCACAGCAACCATTACAACTATCACCACAATCCGGGGCCTGTGTGATTGGAGGTGACGCTAGGGAACAAAGGCTGCAGCCTGCAGACCCCAAACCTGTGTGATAGGGTCCAACTCTGGGGCCTTCAACCTTGATTGTGCAGTTAACAGTGTTTAGTGCAGGGAATAACCTGGGTCATCTGCGGTCCTGACTCTGTAGGCTGCCTGCTGCAGACTCCTTATGCTATGTGAGAAGCCCTATGAGTGTGAGATGTTAAATTAAGTGTCTGTATGAATTCTGCAACCAGCTCCCTCCTTCTGTATCAACCACTTACACCCCACCTACTCCCCAACCACTGGACTGACTGAGGGGGCTGCATCCCATCTACAGGTGCCTAAGCCCCCTCTCAAAGACACCATGATGACCTCCTTTTCTCCTATAAGTGAGAGAGGGGCATATTGTTTTTAAGACATCATTGTTGATGTTGAAGTGTATATGCTTAAAGCTGCATTAAGCGAAAACCCACAGCAACAAAGCTATGATAGAGCTATGATACACTAAGCGCTTGTGGCTAATGTGTTACACACAGCAGAAACAGAGGAACATGGACATCCAAACCTGAGTCCTTTCCTGCCAACTGACAAATGAAAGTCTGATATTTGTTTGTCTTTATGCCACAACCTCTGCTCTCTTTGGCTTGAGATATAGAAATGATATAGGAAACAGCTGTCCAGAGTTTTTATGTAGTGGATCAGTGAGAGTGGTTGGGTTTTAGCCATATGGATTGATTAAGTGGAACACCCTGAAAGTGCCTGAAAACTGCAGAGATGGGATGATGTTGATTCACAGTGGGATTGATAGTACTAGCAACTCTTTTATCACCAGAAATTATTTTGATGTCAAATATATCGCTTAATGGAGCTTTAACAATTTTCGTATGTTTTAGATTTTCTGTATGTAGAGGACCAAGTGTGTTGGCAGTGATGAAAGAAATGTAAGAATAAGGAGAAAGAAAGATGAGAATGTTTATAGGTGTTGGTAAAGGCACAGTTTATTGATTGATTAGCTTCACTTAGTGCACCTTAAACTGGCTACACACTAGAGGAGTTTTGCAAATCATAACAATTTATTGTAATGGCAGCCAGGACACAGTAGAGGAGCAAAATTTCTCCATATATCATGTTATCCTGTTGGCAGAAAGGCTCACAAACTAAAAACGTCAGCTGCAGGCCACCAAAAAGCTGCTTTGAAACTTTGAGACTTAATCAGCTTGCCAAAGCAACATTCAGGGGTAATCCCAGGAACCCGAAAAACACGTTTCTGCCAGCTCTTGTAACTGCCACACAAACAGGTCTGGGTTATCTACTCTGACAAACAATATAATGTTTTTAAAAGTGACTATACAAGCTTGTCGTGCCTGGTGACTCACACTACATTGATCAACTCTGATTCACACTAGTACCAGTGATTCAACACCCAGCAATTATCATTACTGGCAACTCAAGTGTCATGTTGTATCACTGCCGAAGTGTGTCCAGATAGGAGTCTGATTTGTTGAATGATTTTGTAAGTGCCTACTTATAGGACATAAACTGAGTCTTAAACTTTAAGGCTAGACTTATGTCAAGACTAGGTCAGATTCACCCTCAACATTAGTGATGCTTTTCTAAAATGTATAAATTTAATTGTGGAGTTGTTAATGATTTATGTTTCCCCTGTGTGAAATGGACTGCAGAGGAAGAAACCATTGATGCAGCTTTAATTTCAGATTTTATGTGTCATACCACTACTATATTGCCAATCAAATATTAAGAAATTTGGCCTCTACCATGTCTTCTTTTTTCTGTTTTTATTGTGTTTTGTTATTTCTCAAAAAATAATAATCAAAGAAGGATGAGACAACCATTTTGAAAATGGTGTTTTAATTTATTTTAAATACAAGAAGTTCTTTATTTACTCTTACAAGGTTGGAAATGCCAGCGCTGTTAAGATTTTTGTGCAATCACCCCTGCTTGCCACTATGAGCCACAAATACTGTATATACTAATGCTATGAGACATGCGTGAAGGATGTATATACATGCTTGTATGTTTTTATTGTACACTTTTAATTTCACCTGTACAGTCTGCTTTGGCCCATGCCTGCTACGACTGGCAGCGATTGGAGTTGCCACACAAACGGATCCAATTCCAGGTCCAAACATAAGCCAGATGCCTTGGCAGAGCTTTTAAAGGGCTGTTGCAATGATAAAGAGTTACATACCCAACTGTGTTTTTGAAGCTAGTAACGCCGTTCCCACTTCAAAGATTTGTCTGTGTTCCTTTTCCATTTCCTGTGCTGATAGATGGGGTTAATTTGTGAATAAGGTCTCCTGTATAGTTCTTGTACAGCATGCAGACCCCTGGAAGACCGACAACAGATCAGACAGACCCCAAACTTGATAGGGGGGAAACAGGAAGACAGAGAGAATCTCACCTGGTAGTGATTGTCAAGCCCTGAAGCTGAGCTGGGACTGGAGAAAGGCAGGGTACTTTAGGGGGTGGGGGGTGGGGTGTGGGGTATCCCATGGTGAACCTCCGTCCCTGGGGTCTTCTACACATTTAAAAAACACAAAATTACAACAAGAAACAGCTGGAACTGGTTGCGGTGAAGTGCTGTGCCAGCCCTCTCCCCTGCTCCATACATTTAAATCATCTGTGTATTACTACAGCCAGACTAATGGCCCAAATGAGGATGAGGATGAAGAAACGTCACAGTGTTTAATTCCCCTCCAGCTTCATGGAAAGCAAGGTTCTCAGCTGGTGATGTGGTTCCATGTGTTATTATGCTTTATTGAATTAGTGCCTTAAAGTAGGAACTGGTTGGCTAATTTCCTGTTTATATCAGCTTGTAGGTATGATTTATGTTGTTTGATTTTTGTATATAGATTATAGACTCTAAACTAGAGAACTTTAAATAAAGATATAATCCACATTCAGTTATATTGTTTTGTTTTAATTTATACATTTAATATCACTCATGTTATGATGGAATTACTCCGGTCTTTCTACAAAGACTTGAAGCATAATCTATTTTATGTCCACAGTTCTTGATAGATGGTGATTGTGAACACATGTCGAGCAGAAAGGGATCATTGAAATGAAAAATGCTTTATAACAGCATCAGGATTTCAAGATGTTCTTGGCGAGTTTATTGTAATCTTGATTAAAAGCAATTCTTCAGCCCAGAAGTCAGAAGGTCAACACACTTGAAATTGTTGTACAAATGCGTGGATGGCACTGTTGGTTTCTTTTAGTTTTTACTATCTTCAAAGTGAATCCACCAACTTGACATATTGCCCCTGCTCTCAGAAACCTGATAAAAGGTCACATATTTTTTTCACTCAGTGTTATTTCGCCATGCAAACAGTTTTGTTTTTTTCAATTCAGGTTTTAAGATATCCATCTTCATAAAAGTTCCATTGTGCAACATTTAGGAGGATCAGTTGGCAGAATAGAATATAATGTGCATAACCATCTTTTCATTAGTGTATAATCACAAAAAAAAAATCGTTATTTGTTTTGTTACCTTTGAATGAGCCTGTTTTAATCTACAGACACTGCGGGTTGCCTTACATGGTGTCTGCCATGTTGAACCGCCATGATTCTACAGTAACCCAGAACGGACAAATCAAACACTGGATCTACATAGGGCCATTCCCATTTCACAGCCACTGTATTTCTCCCTCACGCTTGGAAGGGGAGGATGAAGCAAGGGAGTTGTAGTAAATGCCACTAAATACACACTGGCTCCTTAAGATTAGTGCATCCACCTGGTATAAGGAAGGTAGTCCATAAACTTTGGAAATTGTACAGTAATACGTCTTTCCAGAAACAGTCAGAGTTGCTCTGACTGATCCATAGTTTTTCCTGTAATTTGAGTGAACTGATCCTTTAAAATCATACATTTGAGAATTTATTTTCCTGTTCAAGCTATCATTCCAGCAGGCAATATTTTACATTGTGTGGGGAACACAATTCCCTTGCATTTTCTTTATTTATGTGAAATGTGAAACCAAATTTGCTTTCTGTTAGTTTGCCAACAACACAGGTTCAGAGACAGATTTACATGTATAATGTTAAGAGCATATGGTTTTTACACTGAAGATTTACAGTTCACCTCTGGAGAAATGCTGTCAAGTAACTAACTCATGACATGACTTTCTTCTGCATTAGACTTTTTATTTCAACAAGACTAATTAAAACCAAGTGCTGAGGATTCAGGAGGGGTTAATCAAGGCTCCACTGCTGCCCCAGTGCATCCAGGCCGGAGAATGGAACGCTCCACAAAAATAAACACATGTATTTATAACGAAATAAACACTAGACCCATGGGGACATTTGTGGGAGTTTCATTGGCAGCGGTATTGAAAACCACTGTCATCCTTCATTTAAAACAATATTACTCACTTGCATGTTGTGAAAGTTGTGCGTACGTGGGGCTATTTTTTACCGTGGTGTCAAAACAACTGGGAATGGAAAGCATTAAGGTATTTTATTTACATGACTATTTAACCATTTAGCTTATTCTTCAGGGTGATTTACACTATGTGAGTTCACAGCTTCATCATTAATTTCTCCAGAGATGCATAATAAACCCTTGCTGAATATATTATACTTCAGGCCTAATAGTAAATGTACCTTGTTACATTATGAGAGATGATCTCTATGGTAACCAGGGCATTTCTGAGCTTGCTAAACTTCATGCCCGCCTGTGGTTGTAAATAGACTATCTATATGAGGGGCATTATCTAACACATACATCAGATCTAGTATCTGCCTGAGGGGTTAATGAGGCAGATGAAATAGATACTATATCTGGAGTAGATAGACACACTCCTGTGGTTTTACATTATTATCTCCATAACTGGTCACCAAACCATCAGCATGCTGTGAATAACCTTATAATTTTGGAATAACCAGCATATTTGATCATGTAGTCAGCACACTTAATCATGATAATCTTTCATTAAAGGTTAAATATGGATTAAAGCCTTGTCTTAAACCAACATTCAAACAGGCTGATATTAAAATAATGTGTTATGTCTGGTCAGCTGACAGAAACACAGCGAATAGATCATTCCTTAGAAACCATCACAAATCATGAATGATCTGGTCCACAGGGATATGAATGACCAGGGCCTGGTGAGAAGTGTCTCTTTTTGGTTTTTGGTTTTGGGAAAACCTCAGCACTGGAAGCAGTAAAGCATGACAGAAAAGACTCGGTCGCCAGTATTTGGATGCTGCGGTAGGCGACGCTGAATGTCATATACTCGACCGTTTCAAACCACTTTGTTCAGTGTCCCTGTGGGCGACGGCCATTTGGTTTCAAGCCTGGAACTGGATGTGGGACAGGGGTGCAGCTAGAAATTCTAGGATAAAGCTGATTCAAGGTGATGAATATTTATAATCTCTGACAAGTTTTTTTTCCCAATTATCCCTTATGTGGTGTGGATGGCTCTTACACTTTCTCTCAGCCTTGTAAACTGTTAAAGAGTGTGTACCAGAGAGGAAAGCGTTCAATAATTTAATGAGTTTGAAGTTGAAGGAAAATTGGTATCATCAGATGGGTATAAATCAGTAGCAAGAGTCAGATGAATCAGGGAGCCCTGAGACTCAAGCTAAGGGCATTGAAGAAACTGTAGAAACTGACAGAGAGGACGAGAGAAAATAGAGGCAACATAAGAAGCAAAATAAATCGAGGGAGGGGGGTGTAAAACTGAAACAGACATGGAGTAGAGCTGGTTCACATGATTAGAAGTGAATAAATGGGAGGCACAGGCATGGTCTTGTTCTTCAACCTGTGTTAAATTTAACTTTATTATTTTGCGGCTTCCATTGAGCTGGAACTGTTTACATCCCGTTTTCAGCACTCAAAGGGGGAAATCGCTTCTGAAAAAGTCACTTAGTGCTCCACAGTCGCACACAGTGACACGGACAGTCAATACTGCAGCCTGAGGAACCAATGGTGCTTCTGACCCGGACATGAGGGGCCTTTGGCTGAGCTGTGTAGTCGGAAACCAACAGTGGAGTCACGTCCTCTGTTCTCATCATGTGATGAATTGAGTGAGGGAGAGAAGAATTTGTACAGATTAGACTCAGATGTGCACAGTATCAGAGGCCTACAACAGTCACTTTTATGACAGTGGAAGTTACAGTCGTCAGAAGATCTAGTTTTATTCATGACTTATATTCTGACACTTAACATTGTCCTGCAGCATTGATTCAGAGGTGTTACAGAGAGCAGCGTCAGTTACTTTCTCATGCTGGAGGCCAGTGGAGACATTTTTAGCTTGGCGCTGTATTCTAGCAATTAAAATGCCTCCAGAAATGAGCAGCTAGTCTCTGTTGTTTTTCTCTTCCTATTATAGACAGTAGCTGGTCCTCCTGCTCCACTGCCAAAAGTACTGCTTCTGCGAAGAGGCACACTAATTAACCCCTTTTTCTATTCCGCACACAAACATTCACACACACACACACACACACACACACACACACACACACACACACACACACACACACACACACACACACACACACACACACAAAACACACATAACAACATTATGCAATGCAGGTTCATCAGCCAATGCCACGGCCTTGTGTAATTCGAAATAACAGTATGAATATGTAATTTCATAATTAAGCCCACAAGACCCAAATCTGATGAATTGTCTGCCTTAGCCCTTTTGAGCTGAGGGAATTATTTTATGATCAGAGTTTTTAAAAAATCATAGACAGCAGCTTCCACTATTTTATCAATTTGGCCTGAATCCCTCCTTTGTGAGCTTTCCATTTAAATGTGTGTCTAAACTAACCAGCACCACCACAGTTATTTACCTAGGTATACGTGTTTATGGTGAGGGAGCATCATCCTTCAAAATACCCAGCTCATTTTTCCACATTTACAGTGCTGCCATATACATTTAAATGGAGCATGAAGTTTGTACCTATTGGACAACATCCTATTTTCCTTTTCATTTACAATTAACTCACTGAGAGCAATTATTTTTAGTTTAATTTTGTCCAGCCCACTAACCTGCAGCTGTTTTGCCTTTGGAAATCATCCATAGATTTAATCAAATTGAATGTATTTATGGTGTTTTTTCCTTTAATGACCCTACACCTGTGATAAGTCTTCCATAGCAATGATTAGTTTGTAGCAAGTATAATTACACAACTAAACTGTGGGAGACTGCAATCGAGACAGAGGGAGATGATGATGGTAATGATAGCAACACTGATGATGATATTAACCTTTGACCTGAGTTGGTGGCAGCGGGGACCCTCCACTGTGACAGACAACTGCAGCCAGAAGTTCAGCAGCACTATGCACCTGCAGACTGGATCCAGCCTCCCTGGCATATTGTGAGATGCCTTATTGAGATCGTATTATTAAAGAGTTTTATCTGTAATGATCTTGTTATAATAACCTACAGTATCTATCCTATGTGTAAATGTCGGTCTTGTTCTGAGTAGAAATTATCAGGGGTCAAAAGCAGTTAATTCCCAGCTCTTATGTACAGCAGTGCTCGTCCAGCACATCCTTGGCTGCTGACAAAGTGAAAGTGACGATGGAACAAGCGATTAGCCACATCTAATCTCTAAATCTTCTCTTCCAGTATACAGTTGGCTGCTGTTTCCTTGCACGAAGAAATTCAGCAAACGTCACACTGATTTCATACAATTACCTTATTGTAATATTTGTATTATTCACTAAAGGTGTGCTTAATGCTCAGGGGCTTTTGTTTTTTGGTACAACTCTGTAAACACCAGGTCCATATATAAAGGACCTAAGCCTCAACTTCATGATAAACACAAATGGTTAAATTTCCTTCTAACCTTCTCGAGTCAGATATTTAATTTGCTTTGCATGTGTTCAGCCAATAAGGTAATTGTCCAATGCTGAGCTGTAGCCAGCTCTTTGGGCCGCCAGCAC